ACACTGCACTTAATTTAACATTTTAAGATTAATCTCTCACTTAATTAGAAAGTCGCCAATTAAGTATATAGACGTTAGAATTCGACGAGAGAAGTTAGAAGAATTGAGAATAACCTCAACTTATATCGTAATGATGAGCTGGTCTCAAAGAACAGTTAACTTTATTCGAGTTAAATGATGTTTCGCGGATTTTATCGCTACTTCCGAAATACCGCCGGAGTATGATGATTTTGGATTATAAAATACTAATTGATTTATTGGTCCATGAGTAATTCAGCTATAGAGTGCTTATGATCAGATAAGAAGTTGTACAGTTCTTTAATTCACGATTGGCATTTATGAAGTTCATTGTCTGAATAGATATCGTTGCATTTGCTGCATCGAGATGATCAGTCATAATATTGCGAGAAAGGCATCCATGGTTAGTTCGGATATGCACCATTCGGATCGTAAGATAGATGAAAATTGGTTAAGACTTTTATCCACTGATTATAATAGATTTTTTTCTTTATGAAAAGCGAACCGCAAAAATTAATTCTCGATTGTAAATATGATTGGGAGCGATTTACGAAGGGATTGCTCATTCGATAATTAATGGTGGTGAGTTTAACATGGCGATAAACATTACATTCGTGTATTGATCCTGCTGGATCAATTTCTTACCGTGGGAAATTCAAAAGGCATAGGTAAATACATAGATGTTTCGTATTTTATGTGTCCTAATTCATGATATTCGTTCATAAAGTGAATATATTCTGTTCTTAATTACAAATTTTTCTTGAACGTGCATTTCAATGTGAGAAAATGTTGCAGCGCGATGATACGAATCATCTAAAACTTGAGAAAGTCGGGCGATATATTGGTGTGATTACGTAGTTTGCACAATGTAATTTGCTCGCATGCTCCTTTATCTGTCGATAGTATGGATGCTTGTGAAATTTTTTCCAACTCCCAATTATGTTTCGATTGAGTTAAGTGTTAAATGGTAAATTGAGAATTTTATTAACTATCAATGTTTACGCAAATAATCAAAGCTACCTTCGTTTTTTTGTAATTTAATTGAATCATTTGCGATGGAGATTTGACCGATGCATAAATCAACTTGAAAAACGCGCTGATCAGAGCGAATCTATTTTGGAGAAAGTATTATAATTTGGAATTTGTCAATGGAATGTTGAATGGGATATTGAATTGTATTTTAAGAACGAAACAATTAGTTAAAATGTTTGATAATGCGCGGTAAAATGAGAAATGACAAATCGATATTGAAATAGTTAATTCTGAATCATATGATTGCGCGAAAAATTCTTTTTATTTTTAAAGTAAAATGATTTATTTCTATGACGAAAATGTTGATCTTAGTGGAGTTGGAGTAGTGCCAATCTTTTCATGAAATATCATGAAATGTGATTGAAAGCTCGAATTCAATAAAATCTGGCGTCAATAGAATCATAGGTATCTTTTGTTATCAATGACAATTAAGATAGACAAATGTTTCTCCTTTACTATTTACGTTCAACATAGATGCCTGTACTTTGTACTCAAATCTACACTCAACTGTAGATTCGCTTGTACTGGGTTTTCTTTACGGGTCATTGTATCGTGTTTTCCATTATATTGCTTACAAGTAATGCAGTCCTTTATATTATGATTGGATCGCAAATAGTTCGCATATAAATAATTTTTAAATCAATTCGGTTTTTTTATATCTAAATCAGTTAATTGCTGACAGTATTTCTTTCTTGCTGCAAAGATTATAGCGAGTGCGCGAGGAACGCCAGAAATTTTTAATTTATGATATGATTTTTAATTTAATTTATGATTTCGCGTATTCAGGTCAACATGCGAGTACTCTGTTGTGTTGATTACTTCGATCTTCGCGATCTCTAAAACTTGATATCAAACTAATACAAAAATTAATAGTACAAAAATTCTAGCAGATTTTCCATCGATGAAAAATCATCATTTATTTATTCTATCGCAATTGCGTTTCATCTAACTCTAAGGTAATAATTGGGTGCTTGTCGAATATCCTTTAACAGATGTCATAACAAGTGGTATACTTCTTAAAAATGAATGGTCTGTATAAGTAATTATATGTATGGAGCGCATGTCTATTAACACGTTGATTACCGCACGCCATTGTATCAAATATATTCCAGTATCTTCTATCCATATTTTAGTAATGCGAGTCGTGCCAATAGTCGCAAGAATAATGTCTCGCATCATTTGTTTTCATGATTACTATGTTATGCAATAGAAGTATTGATAATAGTAATTGTATTAACAATAGTATTGAATAATATTGATTTAGTATTTTATTTTGGATATTTTGATTTGGATAATTTGGATTATAATTTGGATAACATGTCGAATGCCCTTCGACTAGTCGTAACAAATATATTTCTTAGTTATGGATTGTATATAAATTCTCACAATGTCACAGCAGGTAATCGTGTTCGATCGTGTCAGAGCACCATATGTTCATAAATTATCTAATCGTCGTATCATCATGAGACTCGTAATACTCCAAAATTAGAAGATTTAGAGAATTATTAGCTGCAAAATTATTAGGATTATCTAAAAATACAACAAAATCTTGTCAAAACCTTCAACGGAGTCAACATAATATTAACGTTCGGAAAAATAATTCTAGTATAAATATTAGACTACATGCAAATTATGTTATTCGGATAAAAGACGACAAACGGACCGATCAAACGCACAAAAGAATTTAAAAAAGACAACAACTTTTCATCCGGATTAACTTCAGCTTTGTATAGAATATTTTAAAATTTTACATTCAAAATAATTTTTTTAATAAATTATTTTTTTATTATTTTTATAACGTTTATTAACAAAATTTAATAATTTTTTTATACCCTGCAGAATATCTTTTCAAATACCTACGAAGATCGTTCATAAGTATTCAAATAAGCGTCACCCGAATAGTAGTCAATGTTAAAGAGTAGAATCTCTCAATATTATAACAGGTAATCGTATCTGACGGTCAGATGTGATGTTAGAACAAAATTGTAATTGTCGTGTCCAGCGGTCAGAGTATGATGTGATTATCATGAGACTCTATTTCAAATGAAGTTCGTGTTTTCAAAAAATCTCTTTCTAGTTAAATTGGGAGAATCATAGTTTCCTGGTGAGACACGCCAACAATGAATAATATCGCGACCAGTGCCCGCGACACCATTGCACCGCGAGGAAAATTCCTCACTTAAATGATGATCTATATATAAAGATTTCATCTCTGATAAGCGGGATTTAAGATTAGTGTATTTCTCTTATAGATTTTTTCGAACTAGAATGATGTTATTTGTCATTGAGTCAGCCATGTTTGGAATATATTATCGTTAAGATCGATTCAGCCAGGCTAAAAGAAATATATAATTATAAATCTATCAGAAATATATAATTATAAATGCCGACTAAACTCTCAAAAACGACAGTTTTTTTAAATAATATCATCTTTTGTTTATGATTAATAGAAGTTTGCAAACGATAATTACAGAAAAGGATTTCAATTATCTGTTTATTATCTTCTATCTAATGCAATTCATAATACTTATATTATATTATATATATTATAATAATTTAATATGATTATAATAACGAAGTATAAAGAAAACGTGATATTAATATGATCGATGTTAGCGGATGTAACTATTAACTATTAAAGTAATAAATTTCGGGCTTAGAACCAATTTATAATGATTCTTTATCAAAAATTTGTTTTCGCATCTAAGACCAAACGAAATTTTTTTTATATAATTAATAACTAAAGAATTAATGAATCAGTTCTCTCTTGTTCATGCATCCATTTAGTAATTCATTTTGCTAAAATAACTATAGAAGTAAATAAACCATATCTAATTAATAATATGCAAAAATATTTGAATTACGTCCATTATAAACCAAAACTATGAATTTCAAATAGTGTAAACAAAAAATTAATGGAGATTGATCAGATTTAAATCGGACATCTCTGGTATCAAAATATCTTCACTAAATTCCGAGTATTCATTGCACTGTATTCAAATATTTGACAAAATAATTTCGACTGTATAAACTTTGTATGAAAAAAATTTTATTTTACATTTTCAATTCATTTTTTTCATATAAATTCCTTTTTTCGACTCGTATTATTAATTCAGTTACTGTAACTTTATTAAGAATTTTATTTAATTAAAATTAAATAAATTATATTTATAATATCTATTTAATTAAAATGAAATAAATATTATATTTATATATCTGGCAGATTGATATTCATTACTCTTTTCTTAAATATCATTTAATATTCATATTCCTTAAAATCGATCTTTTTCACACGTTTATATTCACAATTTTCATTAAAAAAAATTAATATTTTTCATTTAAGATTAAAAAAAAGTATTACATATACATATATTATTTTATATTCAGAAATCTTTATCATTTATAATATAAATTAAATTACTTTTAATTTTAATTCTAATAATTAATTCTTCTTGACTAATAAATTCCGTTAATTTATAATTTGTGCTTTTATAATTAATATAATTTTGGAAGATTTTTGGAAGATTGAAAGATTCTAAAGATAGAATAAATACAAAACTTAATGTATAAAAATTTCAATGAAGATTTATTTATTGAATTATAATTAATTAATAATATTTAATAAATACGATAATTCTATTTATTCTATCTTCCCAATCTAACACAATCTAAATTTAAATTATTTATAATTAAATAAGTTTCAATCAAAATTTTTATATAACAACTTTTGAATATGTTTTAGCTTTTAAAATTGATTTTTCAAACATATTCCACGAATATGTTAACATATAAATTTATGAATACGTTAATATATAAATATTAAGATTAATAATATCAATGAAAGAAAACACACATTTATATATTTACTTTATAATATTATTATAAAATTTATTTTATTAAAATATCCTTAAATTAAAGACTTAATTGTTTGATTTAATTTTTATACTACATGAAAACATATGTCAACAATATTTATTTTTTATTTATTTCATTTTCAAAATTTTCTATCATAATTATCTCGTCGATCTATTTGCTGATTCAAGGGTTGTTGTAATTTTTGAGCTGCCTCACGTGCATCTGCTTCCTATAATACAATAATAATTCTATTATTATTACATATTCGTACATTTATTAAATATATATAGATATATTTATTATCTTATTTATCTTTATACTAGATATGTACACATATATGTGTGTGTGTATATATATATATATATAGAAATTATAATATAATTACTTATAAATATTATATAATATTAATATAAGCAATGAATAAAAAAATAATTTTAAATGCTTATGTCTGTATTAAATATATATTTAAGAATAATAAACTTAATATTAATATTATTATTATATATTAATAAATAAATATTATTGTATTAATATTTGTTATTAATTTCTACAAATATAATATAAGTCTAAAAATACAATACAAGTCACATATTTTTATTATTAGTTGTATATATATATTTTAATATAATTAATATATAATTAATTTAGTTATAAAATAATATAATATTTTTATTTACAAAATAATTTTAAATTTTTTTTTAATAATTAAAAAAAATTAAAATTAAAATAAAACATTCTTATTATATTTTTCATTGATTAAAATCCATTAATCTAATTTAGTCAAAATAAATTTTATCAAAATTTAGTTATTATAAATAAAATCATTATTAAAAAAATATTATTTAATATAATAAATTTACTTACTATTACAAAATATTTTTATTTAAATTATAAATTAAAATTTTACAATGAAACTGTATTATTAATCTTAATGCTAAACCTAATGTAATTAAATAATAATAATAAAATAATAATAATAATAATAATAAAAATAGAATAGTTTGATTTTGAATAGTTAAAATAATTAAAATAATTTTAAATAATTCTAATAAATAATAATAGTTAGATTGAATATTTATGATAACGTAATAATAATGGGAAAATATATGATAACCAAATTGTCTAAATTTCAACCATCAACATTTTTTCATGGCAACTTTTATGTTCATTTTGTGCCTTTAGAATCAATAAAATATTTCAAAACTCTATATATAATATAATAAAATATATTAAAACTCTATATATTTCATTAATAATATCAATAACAAATTAAATAAATTATTTATTCAAATTATCACATATTCTGAATTTCTTAATTACTTGATAAATTATTAGAAACCCAAAATTTTTGGCATTCGATATTATAAATAATAATATTATAAATATTTAGAATAGATATGTTTAACTATTATCATTATAATAATTATTTATATTTTGTAATATTTACAAAATTAACAAATCTTATTATATTAACATTATAAAAGTATTATTTTATTTGTAGAATTATATTTTTTTTCTTTTTTTTAATAATATACTTTAATAATATAAATATTATAATAAAAATTTTATTATAATAATATATATAAGGTTTTATAAAATTGGATTTTTTCCAAAATTATTTTAAATGTCAATTTGAATTATTTCAAATTATATCATTTATTGATATCTTTATGGAAAAAATTTTCTTCCCTTCTTTTTTTCTTTATAATGACGAATTCAACATTACATAAATTGTAACAAACTATTTTTTTATTTAATACGTTTTTTTTATTTAATGTTATCGATAAAATTTAATAATAAATTTTTATTCATTGAGCAAAATAAAGAATGCATCAAATATTATAATCTCACAAGATCTTGAGATCATATAATAAAAATAAATATTCTAAATTAAAAATTATTTCATTAAATAAGATGAAATATTCGATAATATTTGTTATTCGAATGGAGATACTATCTATGATACTATTTATAATCATATCTATGATACAAGAAACATTCTTTCTTAGCAACATTTATAAAAAATTTTTCAGAAAATCGTAAAAATATTTATCGTGTTATTTTTTAAAATAGAATATGTAACAATTATTTTAAATAAAAATAAATGTTAATACATTTAATAATACTTATACAAAAAATTATCTACTTATAATTAAAGAAAAATATAATACTAGAACTTTCTTTTCTTGTTTTTCTTTCTCTTTTTTTTTAATATTTTTAAAATCTTTAATAAAAGTTTAATTTTATATAGTCTAAATGATTATAAAATAATATTATATATATTAACTCAATCTAGTTATTTAATTAATAGTTGTTTTGAAAAAAATAGTTTGTTACAATTTATGTAAACTATCTTATATAATTTATAATATATATACACTTCTTTGAAATATAAAATGAAATGAAAGAATAAGATGAAAAAGAAAGAAAGAGAAAGTATAAATCGAATTGAAAGAAAACACAGGAAAGAACAAACAGAGAAAGGAAGAAGCAGAAAGTGAGAAAAGGAAAAGTTATGGGACGTACCTCTTGCTGACGAATGCCCGCAAAGATGAGGTCGAGGCCTTTTTGAATCTCTTCACTGACTGGCGGTGGCGTGGGAATGTGATCTCCGGTCGCGTGAAAGCCAGTCTCGTCGGCAGTATAATGGATGGTGATCAGCTTCCCCTCTGGACTCGTATATGAGAAACTTCCTTGTTGAACCAACGCTTCTCCTTGTTCCTCGCCTTCGCCTACTTTCTTGATGTAACCACTCTCTTCGGCGATAATATTGTTTCCCGTTTCATAACTATGAATAAGTTATTCACATCAGATTTCAAATTACATTCTTCTAAACTTTATTTCAATATGTACGCACATCGTGTTGTCATTAAAACAAAGTTTTCAAATTTATAAATATATTTTTAAATTTATATTGCTACAGATGAGATTTGTAAATATGTAAATATAAAAATTATTTTGATTCAATATGTTATATAAAATTTATATATATTCAAACATTAATATATTTTATGTTTTTAATTAGATTTAATAAAATTATAATAGGAATTATATTATAAATAAAGATAAATAATAAAAAAGATAAAGAAAATAATAGAGAATTTTAAGTATTTTATTTTAATATTATTACTGCAAAATTAATTATATATTATATAATAAATATTAAATCATTGAATTAAATTTTTATTACTTCAGAATTATCATATAAACCGCAAAAATAAATTTTGATTTTTAATTCTTTTGCGTATGATATGTATGCAAAGAATTATATTTAATATTTTATATACATGATTTCCATTTTTTTACATTAAAATAATAAATGATTAATTTATATTTCATAAATTATGAAATTATTTCAAAAAATAAATTCTTAAGTTCAAATTGAAACATAATATAATAATTTTTAAATATATCATAATTTTATAATTTTATCATAATATTATAGTATTATAGTATTCAATTTTAATAATTTATATTTATTAACAATTTATATAATATTTATATATATAATATTTATTACAATTTATATAATATTTATATATATAAATTGTTAACATTTTAATAGAAATTAGAAATTTTACATAAATTATGTTTATAAATTAATAAGAATTATGTTAATTATTAATAAAAAAATTATTAATAAATTATTAATAAATTATTAATAAAAAAACTTAGCTTCACTATTTTTTTAAAATATATGAATAATAAATTTTAAAATTAAATTAATAAGTTTCATTTAATAATAAGTTTCATTTAATTAAATTGAGTAAATTTTAATGAGTAATTTTATTCATTATAATATATTTTTTTTCTATTCTTATATATAATAATTTTTTCTTTTTAAATTTGATAATAAATAAGCAATAAATAAATAATAATATTGTAACAATAAATAAATATTATTATTTATATCGTTATTATTAAATATTTTTCAAATAAAATATTTTAATGATAGATAAAAATAATAAATATAAATTACATAAAGTTCAAGTATTTTTTATATATCAATTTTAATTAATAAAAATGAAAAGATCTTCAGATTAAAATTATTAATAATTTTAAAAAATTATATATATATTTTAATTAATATTTAATTTTTTTATTTAATTTATTAATGTATATTATAATTAATATATTTTAATTTATTTTAATTTAAATATAACTAATTATTAAATAATAATATTTTATATTTATATTTAATTTATATCGAAGCAAAAAAAATGTATATGTTTCATAAATAAATTCTTCATATGCTTCATAATTTTAAATTTTAAATTTTTAATATTAAAAAAATTAAATATTATATATAAAATTCAATATACATATTTTATATAAATTAATATATAAGATTTTACTATGAAAAAACAATTATAAAAATAGTTACCTTGTTTTGTAAGTTCCATCATGTTCTTGTTGTTTATTCCAATGTAAAATTGGAATGGGTGTTGTTGTTAATGACCCTTTCCTCTCATCAATTGGAGGATTTTGTCTATCTTCGTGGTAATTGTTACGAGCATAATTTGAATCTTGTGCTGCTGCAAATCCTAAAATTATTGCTATTATCTAAAAAAAAAAATTGTATTATTGTTAAACTATTTTAAAAAAAATTAATTATCGTTCTTACAATACTTGACAATAATTGTAATATTGTGTATTTTAAAATGAAGTTTTAATAATAGAAATCTGTGACCAACACTATCGATGTGATGAGTGAAAGTAAGATGCCAATGCGGGTCATTTAACTCCTGACCTACGAGTTTACGAAGTCGTCTTCAATTTAGATTGCTTCGTGTTCTTTCCAGTTATCCATGTCGCAACAAGAGTTCAAGAATTATATTATTTTTTTAATTCAAAATTAAAGGAACAATATTTACAGTTATTTTCATTTTTCATATTTCAGTTATTTTGGTATGCAAAATATTTAACTTTTTCTTTTAATTTACAAAATTTTTTTTTCTTAAATTTTCTTAAACTTTTTTAAAATTTCTTAAAGAAAATACTGATTTGATAAAATAATAATACTAAAAATATATTTATTATTTCTAATGAAATACTTATAATTAATTTATACTATATAATTATTAATATTATATAATATATAATATACTGTATAATTGTAAATACTATATAATATATTAAATAATATACTATATAATTGTAAATATTACATAATTAAATTAATTATTTAAATTAATAATATGCAATTATAAGCAAATATTCAATATAGATTGAAATAATATGTTATATGTTTAGCAATAAGTTCTAAGAACAATATATTAAAGGTCAACCATGCAGACTTCATTTTATTCTTCACATGATAATACTTTAGAAATAATTAAAATTATATCAATAATAACAAAAAAATTTATAAATAAATATTCTAACAAATAATAATTTAATAATTTCTTTCTAAGAAATTCTGTATTATATTGATAATAATATTTTATATTATTAATATAAATACAAATGTGAAATTTTGAAATAAAAACTTAAATAGTTTAAATAATTGTTTTTAATTGTATTTAATTAAATATTTGTAATAGTTAATTTTAGAATTTGTCGCACATATAATTCAGTTTATGTTTAATATTTTTTTAAACCTTTATATAATATAATTTTTATATAATGTATCCATTCAATTTTTTTTTATTTGTGTTTCTCTCATAATTTAATTGAAAAAATTGAAAATATTCTACTTAATCGATCTTTAATAACATTAATAATATTTTTTCTAATTTAAAAATATATAATAATTAAAAAATTAAAATATAATAATTAAATTATTATGATAATAATAATTTTATACTAATTAATCATTAAATAATAATATAAATTTTATTACTTTCATTTAATTCTGATAATAAAAATCTATATTAAGATGTTACATTATATTTATGTTTTATGAAAATTTGTTATTATAGATATGATTTAAAAAATAAAACATTGATAAAAAATATTAAATTCATTATTCATTTTATATTGGTTAAATTTAAAATAAATAATTTTGTTTTTTTTTGTCGTTTTTTTTCAATCTGTAATTTTATTTTTTATCTTATTTCTATAAGAAGATATCAGAATATTCCATTTTCAATTTTTATTACAAAATAAGAAAAAAAAGTAAAATATTCAAATAACGAAAATAACGATATAAAACAGATCAATATACGAATAGAAATATAAAAATTACTTACAATTGTTTTCATTCTCTCTTAATAAAAAAAACACTTTTAAAAAAGATGAACACTACTAAATCAGATCGTTTTTGATCCTAAGGAAATAAGGAATTCACCTTTTATACTCTCACTTTATCCCCACTTAAAAAGTGATGGATCTCCGAAGATGTTTTACGTAGTTTGTAACAACGATCTTTACATACATCTTTACATACATCTTATATGTATATGGTGATACATTCCATACCACTTTATTTTTCTTTTCGTCTATTTTTTCTTTATTTTTTTTTTTTTTTTTTTTTTGCAAGGGTAAATCAATATATTGTATTAATAGATTATATTACAATAGTAATTATTTCTTAAATGTTGAATAATTAAAATTTTATCATTTCAATTTATTTCTACCTCATTATTAAATATATAGAAGTTTATATCAAATATTTTTCTTACTTATTTTTCTAAATTATTCTATATCGATAACAAAAAATCAATAATATTTTATTTTATTAAAATTATAAAATTCTTATAATTCTTATAATTATAATTAATTCGAATAATATCAAAGCAAATAACAATTTACATAATTATCTTGATCTAAACGAAATATTACTCTATTTTGTGTTTGTTATTATAACTCTAATATTATATATTAATTTTAATATTGATATATTTCTTTTCAAATAATAAATAATAAATAAAAAATAATAAAATTATTTTGAAATTTCATATTTGTACGAACAAAAGAATGATAGAACTAATTAATTAATTCCTTGATAATAAATAGTATAATAAATATAATAATATAAAATATAGTAATAATAAATATAAGTGAAAGATTTTCAATTTCTAAAAATAAAAATTTTATAATAAAATAACAATTATATACTAAATGCTTGTTAATATTTAAATTCCAATCTATTGCATCACATGTGAAGTCATAATTCTCTAAACTATGCTACAGCATGAACATGTAAATTACATAAAATACATTGAATTTTTCATCGAATTCAATATTAATATCTTAAATAAATAAATTTTAGAAAAATATTCAAATAAATATATTATTTTGAATATACTAAATATAAAATATTATGAAGAAACATCTTGAAAAATTTTATATCTATTGTTTTTATACACAATAATTTATAAAAGTATGGTAATAATAAATATGAATTTGCACGAATTATTGAATAAATGTATATTTATAATTTATATATTATATTTTCTTAAATAAAATTGTAATTATTATCAAATTTTTTATGAATGAAACATAGAGATAAAATATTTTATATTCATGGTTATTAATAACAAAGTATTGTATTATATAATAAAAAATATTATAATAAATATTATAAAAAATATTATATAATAAAATAATAACTTTCTTTAACAATATTTACATTGTTAAAAATTAAATTTGACTAAAAAATTTTTTGAGCAACATACAATTACAAATAATTTAAAAATAATAATTTTTATAAATATTATTATTAATAATTATTTTTAAATTTTATTCATTGGTTTTAAATTTTTGTTTATTAATTTACAATAATTTTAATTTTTAACCAAATAATGTTTCTTATTATACAAAAAATATTTTTAGAAAAAATTTGAACAAGATTTAGAATAGAAAAAAATTATCATTTTGCAAAAATTCCTATTTATGTTTTTTCTTATACTTTATTGCGTTATTTATTGTAAATATTTGTGTATTCATTTTGAGATATCAATTAACTTAAAATATACCGAGGAGGAGTAAGAAAAATATAATTAAAGTGAGGAATATTATAACATAATAAAAATAAAAAATAATCTTTAAAAATATATTAATTTAATGTATAATTAAAAAAATTAAAATTTATATATATATTTAATATATTTAAAATAATTTATATATGATTAAAAGATCTAAAAGATCTAAAAAATTAAAGAAATTAAAGAGAAAATTAAGATTTTATTCACTAATAAAAAATGATTATACAATTTTTATTTTTTTCGTTTTATTCCATTATAGAATTTTAAAAATGAATTTTCTAAATTTATTATGTAATAAAATATTTATATATATAAACTTATTTGAAATTAAATCTTAAATAATTAAGTCTTATTAATTATATAATTTATAAAATTTATAAAAAATAACTTTTGGAATATCCATCTTTAAAATATACCAATTTATATAAATTATTTTAAAATAAGTATTTCATTAATAAAAAAGATATAAGAAAAATAAGAAAATAGCATAAAAAGAATATTATTTGAAATAGTAATACAATAGTAGCAGTTTTTAATTTTATATTATAAAATTATATTATAGTATTTATAATATATTAAAATTATTGTGTATATTATAACATATATAGGATCTTATTTTATACAAAATCTTCTACTAATTATACAAAAATACGAAAATATTAAAACATTTTATCTTTTTGAAATGATAAAATAGAAACACTCGTTTGAAATTAAATATCTTTATTTTCTTTGCATGAAATATATTAATTTATATAAATTAGTTATAAATATGAGTAAATTATATTGTATATAATATACAATTAAAAACATAAAAGATATATTAATTATTAATTATTTAATATCTATAATTAATTTTAATATCAAATAATAATTATATTATAATATTTAAAATTAATTTTTTTTCTTAGAAATCAAAATAATAATCAAAATATAATACATATTTTAAAATATTTTAGTATAATGGTTTTAAAAAAAAACATTAAAATAATTTTAATTTTTTTTTAACTTTAATTTTTTTTTACTTATAGATGTTTCTTTTTATTTCATTTTGCTGCACATACACAAACAATATTTTTGTTTTTTTTATTTTGTTTAAGTTTTAGAAATAGAGTTTTTCATTAGACTTATAATAGAAAATATATCTCATAATTCCATAATCTCATTATAGTTTTTGAATTTGTATTTATTAAAATTTTTTTATTTATTTTAAGGAATATATTTGTTCTAATTTTTTTTTTTACGTCTTTTTTTTTACGTCTTTTATAATATATTATGATCAAACAAAAATTATATTCAATAATAAAGTTTTAAATCATAAATCAAATTCAGAAATTATTATATATATTTAGTAATATTAATTTAAAATTTCACATATAAAAAAATATTTATTTCATCATTTAATTGTATTCATTTCGTTCTTTTCATTGTCTAAATTTGATATTTTTAATGAGATACATTTTATTATATTTTGTATTATTAAAAAAAATACGAACCGTTAGAAATAAACCAATGATCGATATTCATGCATTAAAAACTATATATATATATATTGATTTATTAATATTTTTAATTATTTTTTCCTTTTATATTTTTTTGTCCATACATTAGAAACTACTATCTTAATGATTGTTACATATTATAATTAATGTATATCAAATAATATAATATTAGTAATAAATAATATAATATTATAATAATGTAATCAAATAGAATTTTGTATTATAATTTTGAAACGAAAAATTTCTTTAAAGTTTTACGTATATTATCTGAATGAATATAAAACAAATATCTATAGTATTTTTTATTAAAATCTGATAATGTTTGAGAATTGAGACAACGTTTGAGAATTAAAAATTTTTTGAGAATTGCAATTTTTTTGAATTTTTTGAGAACGAAAAAAATAAAAAAATACAAAAAAAAATTGCATTTGAAAAATCTAAGATAAATATAAAGATAAAAAGTTAAATATTTTATGATTTCTTTTTCACTTTGATATCTTGTTTCGATCACAAATTACAACTGCTTCCACAAATATTCCACAAAATACCTTTAAGTTTCTTTCATAATTATCTTTCGAATCTGATCGAAAAATTAGCATAAGAATTGATTAATTATTATTAATAGTTATTATTGTGTATCTTTTTTTTATTTTGGTGCAAAAAGAAAATATTTTATTGATAGAAATGTTTAATTTATTAGTATAATTTATTAGTATATTATATTAATTGATATTTATATTGCAAAAGTTTATACAGTATATATTCTTCATTATAAAAACATTTTATATAACATTTTATATATAAAATCATTATAAATAATAATCATTAAATATATATTATATTATTTATATTTATATTATCTTATAATGTATATATTATATATATATTATCTTATAATTATATTTATTAAGATTGTTAAATATTTAAACAGTTAAAAATTCTGTTTGATTATGCAACACATTTTATTAATAACTACATTAAATGTAAAGGAAACGATTTCTGTTTAAAAAAAACAGTTTGAAGACAGTAAATGATATAGTATAATCAAAATTAGAAATCAAGTTTCGATATTTATCATTTGAAAAACATTATTTATTTATTAAAAAAATCCAGTTATTTTACTTTTTATTTTTTTTTTTTTTAATTTCTTCATTATATAATGAATTATTACATTATGAAATTCATTATTATATAATATTCTTAATTATTATATATTTTTATTAGACAATATTAATAATTTCATATATATTGATTTATTAATATTTTTAATTATTTTTTTCTTTATTTTAAAATACTTTATTTGTAAATGTAACTTGTATGTATGTATGATTATAATTTCAAATATTTTTTTGTAATAAAACAACGATCGTTATCGTTGTCTTATATAGAATTATCATAAACATTAAAACTGAATAATAACTACATAAATTATTTTTTTTTCTTAATAAAATAAAATTTTAATTAACTTCCTAACTTTTATTTTAAAATTTTATAATTTTATTTAATAAGTAAATATTTTATGTCGTTTCAAAATTTTAAAACAATATTGTTATTTCGAAAGAATGTATATGTTTATTTATAAATATGTTATGTTATGTTATATTAATATAATTATTATAATATTTATAATATATATATTAATAAATATGTTTATTTGAAATATTAAACATATTCTACAACAAAATAAAAGCATCTTCAATAGTGGAAATTAAAAACGATCTCCCTTACAATAAAATATAAGAATGCTATTTGCAATTTGCTCGTGAACGTGTTTAATGAAAAAAAAAGTGAAGAAATATTATCTTTTTGAATGACAAAAAATAAATTTAATTTAGACGAATCCGATAAATAGAATTATTATTTTTATGATTTGAGAAAACA